TGCTGAGCATTGTGATCACTTGGGTTGTCTCTACTAGGAAACAGCTAACATCTGAGTACCCTACCTATTATTAAAACATATTAATACATGACACATGCCTGTCAAAGGCATGTTCTGTACATACTACAGAAGCAATACTATTCCTCCAGGGTTAGCTGAAATAGTTCATAGAATACACAAATCTTTTCCCTCTTTTTTTGGGGGGTGGTCCTGAAAGTTCAACATGGGCCTCACACATGCTTAAGGACATACTCTGTCACTGAGCTACATACCCAGTTCCCCAACTATTTTTACCAAGTTACTTCCAACTTCCTTGATTTTTAGATACCTTGAAGGCAAAAAAGAAAGAAAAAGCCCTTGATTCAGTAAAAAGCTGTATTTTTCCCCTATCACCTCTTCACCCTCCTTCCCCCAAAGTAAACTGAGACACTACCTTCTAAATCTCTGAACATAGAAAGCTGACACTCAGATCCTGGTCTAAACACGACATTAAGCACTACATAGTATCTTCTCGGCTTTCAACTTCACTATATTATCTCCCAAGCAAAGTCCCAAGAAGCATTCTCTGAAGTTTTTAGATAATCTTTCAATTAAGATATATATGTATGCTTCTAGAAAATGTTTAATCAATTGTAATTTTCCCGAGTTTTCATGACATAATCAATATAAACCTGTTCCAGAGACTGGTGTAATCCCAAAATAGAATGACAGGAACTGGAATTATCTTCCTGTCAGAAACAAGTAAAAAGGGAGATGAAACATACAGAACAATGGCTTCTAGACATCACACATTGTGCATCACAGCACAGAGAACCCCAAAAGTGAGGAAACTGCATCCTCCTGTTGTCCAAATGGATTACCTAGAAGAAAGAGGCACACAGCACAGGAAAGGGAAAATCCCTTCCAAGCCAGGTGCTCCTGGGAACTGAGCAGAAGGTCATAATCTTGGGATCCCACAGTAGTTGGGATTAGCAGAGCAAAAAAACAGAGCAAGGAGCTGCATGAAGAGCTTTGGAGATTTTTCAGAGGGGCCCCTTCGAGTCCAACACAAAGCCAGCCAAAAGAGTAAGAGTGGACAAGCCCTGAGCTCAAACAGTACTAGAAATTCCCATTTCCATCAGCCAGAGTAGAAAAATGGGCACATGAAGAGGCACTGGGAAGGACACTCAAAAAGGTAGTGGGAGACTCAGCTTTAGATTAAAGGATTCTCTGATATACAATAATCTCCTATCCCTATTCCCCACACAGTTTCATTTTCTATAGTTTTGATTACCCATAGTCAACAGTAGTCTAAGCACAGTAAATAAAATTTTTCAGAAATAAACAATTCCTTACTTTTAAACTGCACACTGTTCTGAGTAGCACAATAAAACCTCTCCCAGGATATGAATCGACCCTCTGTCCAGCACATCCATGCTGTCTGTGCTACCAACAGTCACTCAGTAGCCGTCTCATGTGTCACATCATACACAGCCATCATATACAAGAAAGGAAAATAGTTTTGTGTATCTTTGAATGAAACAAAAATAACAGAAGAGGGGCCGTGGAGATAGCTCAATGGACTGAGTGCCAGCCTGGCAAGCACAAGGATGAGGTTCCATCCCCGGTACCACTTGCCACGTCAGTCCCACCCCCAGGCACGCTGAGCCAGCCACGGAAACCAGGTGTGGTGGTGCAGGCCTGTCATCCCAGCACTGGGGAGGCTGAGACGGGAGAAAGCACTACTAGTCTGAGCTGTGTCACGAGACCCTGTACGTAATAAATAAATTTAAAAAAAATAAAACAGAAGAGACAATCATATTGGCTAGATCTGCCTGTTCATAGCAACTTGTACCCTTTTGCAGAGCCAGGATCCTTTATTCAAGACACAACTTAGAAAAAAATTCTGTTTTGAAAGAAGTGCTGAGCTCAGGCGTCACTCCACCTGTACTGTGACGATTACCTAGGTCAGCCCTCCCTTCTGCTTGCTTCAGAGACTGTGGCCCTGCTGGTCCACCTGACCCAACATACTCTCAAGGTCTGGCTCAACAGAAGCAGAGGAACCCAGCTCACCTGAGGAGTTACTGAGAGAAGGGTGGCTCCCACATCCTCATCCCTGATGCCCCTCTCTTCATGTTGGGCAGGAACCTGGGATGTAGCCAGAGCTAAGGTAAGAAAAGAAGCTTTAGTATCTAGATGTCTTCCTTAACCATTTCCTAGATGTTTCAGATTTAAAAAAAAAAAAAAAAAAAAAAAAAACTTCACCCAAAAGAACAATCTGCTCTAAAAATGCAAATTTTGCCCTTTTCGTACTGCCCAGGCACAGGTCTGTATGGCGTGATTCTTGATTCCAAGGGAAACTTCACAATGTCTGGAGCCCTTTATGTCCTACAAATGAAGGAGGAAGACGTCCTCAAGTTCTTTGCTGAAGGAACCCACTTAGGTGGCACCAACCTGGATTTCCAGATGAAGCAGTATATCTATAAAAGGAAAAGTGATGGACTCTATATCATAAATCTAAAGCAAACTTGGGAGAAGCTCCTCCTGGCAGCTCAAGCCATAGCGGCCATTAAAAACCTTGCTGACATCAGCATCATACCCTCGAGGAACACTGGCCAGCAGGCTGTGCTGAAGTTTGCTGCTGCCACTGGAGCTACTCCTACCTATTGTTGGCCACTTCACTCCTGGAACCTTCACTAACCAGATCCAGGCAGCCTTCTGAGAGCCATGTCTTCTGGTGGTTACTGACCCCAGGGCTGACCATCAGCCCCTAACGGAGGCATCTTACATCAATCTGCTAACCTTTGTCTGTGCAACACAGATTCTCCTCTGTGCTATGTGGGCACTGCCATCCCGTGCAACAATAAGGGAGCTCACTCTGTGGGTCTGATGTGGTGGATGCTGGCCCGGGAAGTGCTGCGCATGCGTGGCACCATCTCCCATGAACACCCATGGAAAGTCATGCCTGACCTCTACTTCTACGAGGATCCTGAAGAAATTGAAAAGGAAAAGCAGGCTACTGCTGAAAAGGCTGTGCAAGGAGGAATTTCAGGGTGAAGGAACTGCACCAGCTCCAGAGTTCACTGCTGCTCAGCCTGAGGCCGCAGACTGGTCCAAGTGTGTGCAGGTGCCCTCTGTGCCCATTCAGCAGTTCCCTACTGAAGACTGGAGTGCTCAGCCGGCCACAGAAGACTGGTCTGCAGCCCCCACCACACAGGCCACCAAGTGGGTAGGAACCACCACCAAGTGGTCTTGAGCTGTTCTGCCGATGCTTAAGCAAAATGGGAATGATGCTGATGAAAAATAAAATAATTTCTAAGAAAAAAATGCAAATTTTCACTCTTGCTTGCCTCCTAATAAACCCTATCCCCCTCCAAACTTCCAAAAAGCCATACCCACATGTTCTCCCACCTTACTCCTCAGACATAAAACTCAAATGGTCTGGCTCAATCACAAAGCAGTTTAAAATACACACTTTGAACCTTCAAGTTGGAGTAGTTCATGTAGTTCTACTCTGGTTCCAAACTTTCCAAGAAACGTCATTTTGGCTCAAGCCTACGAACCACAATCTCCAAATTTCTCCCAGAGAGGTCGGCACAACAGTGAGAAACCCTCCTCACCTAATTCTGCTTCCGGGTCAGATTCCTCTTTAACAATGTGGCTCAGCAGCTCCTGAGACCCTGACGGAGAATGCTGAAGTCCAACCTCCAAGGCTGCCTCTTCCAGGTGTGACTCCACTTCACCCATGGAGGAGCTTGAGGGTCCCTTCTTCTCAGATAAGATCTCCTGTCCCAGAACTTGGATACTGATCTAGAAAGCAGAGCACTAATTACTGAAGGAAGCAGAGTCAGGATTTCTGGAAGGTAAAGAGCTAATCTCCCATAAAAGAAGGTAGCACAGTCTTTATGGGCAGGAGGGAGAAGAGGCAAGCGAGTTCTAGCAGGAACCACTGAAAGAAAATATCCCGAAAGCTGAGGTTCGAACCAGGCCTGGAAGACCTTAAAAAATGCACTAATATTAAGTTTGGACTAGACAGTCTCCACCAATTAAAAGTCAGGCAACTTTTGAACTTAAATATTCTAAAGATGGAACCAAGTAGGAGAATTTATCTTCTGTCTGCAGCAGTTTAAAAGTGTTGAAAGTTAAGAGTTTTAGAATGAAGTGAGGTAGAAAAAAAATGCAGATATGATACAAAAAAAATCTTTGGTCTTTGTCCTTGGCTCCTTAGTACAGAGCTCTTGGAACCCTTGTAATTTTCTGAGTGATATGAGGTTTTTTCTTGTTTTTTTAAAGTCTTTTGTTACTAGTAATGAAGACTTCATTCATTCACACCTGAGTTTGAAATGAAATAGGTAACTAGCCAGCTCTTGATAAGTCCCTAGATAGCTTCAAGACGAAGCTTTGCATCCAGGTTGCCAGAGGACCCAACAATGTGATTGAAAGGATGAATTTTCAGACCTCAGGCCTAACTTCTGCCAAAAGAGAGGCTGAAGATTTTCTATCACTAATGATAAATGATATAGTCAATTGTGCCAAAATAGTGAAACCCAGGGCCAGTGAGATAGCTCAGTGGTATAAAGCACCTGCTTAGGCAAGCTTAGGCAAAGCACAGGGACCACTGTTTGATTCCCAGCACTATGTGCCATGCCAGCCCCACCCCCAAGGCAGTCTGTGCCAGCCAAAAAAAATGGTGAAGCCCACCTGAACAGTACTACAGGACTGCACCCACATTTGTGCGGTCTGTGCTGAGTCCAGACAGTGTCCGGCTGAGCTGAACTGCTGGACACTTAGCCGGATCAGGGAATCAGACTGTCAGTGTGGAAACACCAGACTTTTGGGGTCACGGGCATACTGGAACAAAACACATCACACTTGATGAGCCCCCAATGTGTCCTGTACTTTCTTCACAGACAACAATCCCCTCTGCTTACCCACTCCCACAGTTTCCGAGGATCGCCCTTTAAGCTCTCCACGAGGGTCACTGCCTCTTCTCCACTTCCTGGATGCTGTTTCCGCACCCACATCTGGATCTCTCCAGGAAGGATGGTCAGAAACTGTTCCAACATGAGGATCTCTAGGATCTGTTCCTTGGTGTGAACCTCTGGCCGCAGCCATTGAAAACAGAGCTTTCGAAGTTGTCTCAGGGTCTCATGGGGCCCAGACATCACCTGATAAGGAAACTGCCTGAAAAGCTGGCGTGCAGTCTCAGGGCTGGAAAGCTCTTGTGGGGCAGCATCTGGCCCAGAGAAGGCAGAAGCCTCATTCTTAGCCAGTGAAGGCAGCAGGCTTAAGGCCTGCCCCAGGTCAATGGGCATCGTCTGGCTTCACAAATCCTTCTAGGTACTTCTGGGGTGGAGACAACCAAGTCTTCACAAGGATCCTAAGGACAGAAAGAAAGGTGCTATTAGAGGAGAAGGATATATTTCAGAAAGAACAATGCACATGCCCTACCTAAATAACCTTGCAGGAAACTATGGGTCTGCTGAAATTGCTCAATTCTACTTTGAAAGATTATAAACTTGAAGGTGCAAAGCCAACTACTGATACCGTATGTCTAAACAGCCACCATCACTTCCCCACTTTATCATGTTTTTCCTTGGTCTTCAAATGTCCAGCCCATGTAGAATGAAATGAACCAAATGAAAGCATTTTCACTGTGGCTTTCTAGATAGATAGTGCTGCAAAATTCTTTATGTTCTTAATTGAAAAATATAGCCAGACACAGAAATCAATACTCTAGGGATACAGGCTGATATTGAAAGGATAAGATGCTTCCTTAATAGTTAACCTGGTCTCCTCTACCACATGTTCTTCCCATAATGCACTGTGCTGCTACAGCACCAAAACAACAGGACCAAGAAACAAGCAACCATGGAATGAAACTGAGAAAACCATGAGCCAGAAAAATAAAGATGGTCATTTTATTATGAGAAATAAGTCAATTAGTCATAGTATAGCTATACTAGTACTGACAAAGCAATGTAAATAAAGAGAAAAAAAATAATTTCATTAGAAAAAATGGGGCAAATGACCTACAAGACATAACCCAAAACATATAGATACCTTGTATGGTTTTAAAGGACAAATTTCTATAGATGAAAAATTTAACTCTTCTCTAAGTAATTGATAGAATAAATACATAAAACAATAAATAAGGATACAGAAAATCTTAACAACACTATAAACCAACTTGATCTTCTATTTAGAAACCAACAGACCCTACAACTGCAGAATACATGTTCATTACAATTGCCTAAGAAACACTCCTCCAAAGTATATGCAAAAGCACCTGCTTAGGCAGGTGCAGGGTCCCAGGCATGCAGTGCTGGTCCCACCCCTGGGGCATGCTGAGACAGCAACTGAGACGGCATGGTGGTGCGTGCCTGTAATCCCAGCATTTGGGAGGCTGGAAACAGGAGGATCACTAGTAGTCCAATCTGTGTGGTGAGACCCTGTAGACCCTGTACTAAATACATAAGCATAATATGCATAATTTTCAAAAGACTGAAATCTTATATATTCTCTATCCACAGTGCAATTGGAAATCAACACCAATATGGTATCTGGAAAAGATCAAGTTATGAAAATTATTCAACAACCCATAGTCAAAAAATACATCAGAACAAAAACTAAAATATACTTTCACATTGAATAATAATGAAAACATAAACTCCGCAGAAGCATTTCTTAGAAAGACCCAGAATATATGTGTGTGTGTGTGTGTGTGTGTGTGTGTGTCGTGCTGGGGATGAACCCAGGGCCTCTTACATGCTAGGCAAGCACTCTATTACCAAACTACAACCCTAACTCCAAGATCTGCAGTTCAAAAGAAATACTGTTTCTAAAAATAAACATGCAAAAAGCCTATTTGCATATTTTTTGCTATCTAAAATCTGTTTGGCTTCTGACTTTAAAATAGCAAGTAGCAGATTAACAAAAGGGACAAATAAGGTCCATCAAGACTTCAAATACTAACATACTCTTCTGTAAGTATACTCATTTAGCAGGGTCTTGTATTAAGATAGCAGTTTGGGTAACATCTAGGAGAAGTGGCATTAAGAAAACTGTAGATCTTCCATAATATTCAAAACTGTAATTATAACTAGATCATGGTAAGAAAAATGCCTTTATTATCCAAAATTAAATTACTTTAGAGGGTTAATGGGCTTGTATCTCAGTAACATTTATGAGAATCTGGTCGGGTTAGTTAACCAAAAACCTCGGTTATCACAGAAGCACACTTGTGACATTTATTAAATTTATTAGAATTAGTATTTAAATATGCAACTAGGTCAATATACTTGCTACATACTTGTAGGTTAACACTCATGGTTACACATGTAAGTAAAACTCGTTGGGCATCTGCTATGAAATCAGCTCACTATTCGGCTCTGACCGTGCTACGTCCTATTGTCATTAGTTTACAGATTAGGAACTTCCGAGGCTCACATGTGGCAGCCAGATTTAAGCCCAAAAAAGCGCTAAAGACGGTAATCCCGGGGGAGCTTTGAGGGCTGTCACAAATGACGGGGACGACAACCGGCACTGGTGCCCCTGGGCCAGGCAGGGCTAACCAGCGACGCTGTCTCCACCCCGCACCCCCGAGGATGACAGCACCCTAGCCGGAGAGACATCGTCCCATCTGGATCCTTCCCGAGATGCACTCTCGGTCCGTGGGGTGGACGCCGGGCACGGCAGGCGTTCAGTCCCGGCGCGCCACCACGCCGAACACCCGGCCCCGCCCCCTGGCGCAGGCACGTAGCGCCGGGCCGGCGTCCTCACGCACCGAGCCGCGCGCCGCTGGCCGCCCCTCCCCCGCGCTCCCGAGCGCACGCGTCAGCAGGCCCCGCCGCCGCTCCCGGGGAACTTGCCGAGTCTCGAGCTGGCGCGGGTGACGCCAGGCTTCCCCCGGGACGCAAGCAGTCGGGCCTGCCTAGCCCAGGCGCTCACCTCGGGCCGCGGCGCCGGCGCGGGCGCACTTCCGGGAGCTGGGCGGCTGCGCACGCCTCTGGCGGCCTTCGAGCGACGCGCGGCGCTGGGGTCCGGTGGGACCGGAACGGGGGCGTGGCCGGGGCGTGGCCATCTGAGTCCTGGGCTCCGATTGGCCTCCAGGGCGCCACCTTGTCCCCGCGCCACCGCCCACCACCACCCTGGTAGCAGGAGGTCCAGCCTGGGATCAAGCCGCCAGCCCTTCCTTGCATCATTCATTCTGCCGCAACTCACCATTTATCGCGTGCCAGATCTGTGCCACGCGCTGGGCCAACACTGCGCCCCCCCCCCGAAGATAATTCCCTTGTGCATTTCAAACTTCTTGCCAGTCCCACGCCCAGAGCTGAAACTTTGCTGTTCTCTCCTGTTCTATGTCTCTCCTTGCCTTTGTTGCCTGACTTGGCCTCCCTGGGATGCTTAATTTGCTCTGGCGTTACTGTTTCTCCAACTCTCATGAACTCTGCGTTTCCTGGGCGTCCTCCTCCCTCTTCTCAGTGTTGGACTTTGGTGAGGTGCCAGGCTCCCTTGCCGCTTTTGTTACTCCCTTCATTCTGCTGTAACACGGATGCCATCTTTGATTCCTTCTCCCCGCACCTTCTTTCTTCCACTCACCATCAGTCACCAATTCCTACGCATGTACAAGACCCCGTCTCGTTCTCGCTGCTTCTGTGTAGCTGCATTCAGTTCTATACCATTTCTCATACAGGTGAGGACCGCAGCTTTCTGACTATTTGACGGGTTTTCAGCCTTGTCCCTTTCCAGGCCACCCTGCATTGGACCAGCAGTTAGCTTTCAATATTAAGCTCCATGTCTAACTCCAGGAGTTCAATCTTGAACAATCGCCAAACAGGACAGTACTCAAAAGGGAAGTTAGAGTACAGTTAAGTATCAAGAGTATCAGGACAGTTGTCTGTGCCCTCTCCCTGTGTGCCATGTTTAGATATCTTCTCTGGAAAAATAAAGCTGGAGACACGGTGGAAAGAGAGGAGAGATGACCTAACATTTTATATAACTGAAAAACTGACCAGTGGGGAAGGGATTTGATATGTTCTCTCTAAGACCCTGGTGCTGAACAAGATGCAGGATGTGTAACTACTGGTCCAGCCCAACCTAGTCCTAATGTTGACTTGTATTACAGTTGTATTTTATGAATGAATGGAGAGAATGTGGTAATAACTTACATGTAAATGGACCCCTGCATTGTATATTACTTTCAGTACTGGTATGGTTTGTGTCTAGTTGTCCCCCCAAAACCTCATGCAGTCATGGGGCAGACTTCTAGACTTTGTAATTAGTTCATGATCCAATGCTGGGAATATGGACATGAGTGCTACTGGGATTATGAGTGGGAGTGCTACACGGAGCCTGGGGCAGATAGACTGAATGCAACATAAGGAAGATGGATTTGCTCTCTGTAGCCATTGTTGCTGCTACTCCTCCCTGGCTCTCTTGTCTCTTTGCCACTGTCATGAAGAGCTGCTCAGTGCTGCCATGTGTCACTCTGCCTTAGAGCCAGTTGAGTTTGGACTAAAATCTCCACTATGAGCTAAATAAACTTTTCCTTCCCTAATTTTGAGTACTGAGTATTTGTCCCAGCAACAAGAGAAGAGTAACCAAGACAAATACTATTGTGCTTTGCTTCTGGGAAAGTAAAGAGGTAAACTAAGATTTGGAGAAGAAGAGGATGAATTTTATTTTCAACATGTTAGGTTTTAGAGACAGGGCATGGTGGTGCATGCCTTTAATCCCAGCACTGAGGAGGCTGAAAACAGGAGGATCACTATGAGCCCGAGTTGCATAATGACACCCTGTACCAAATACATAAAAAACAAGGGGCTGGGGAGATAGCTCAGTTGAATAAGTGCTTGCTTAGCAAGCGCAAGGGCCTGAGTTTAATCCCCGGCTCTGAAAAAAAAAAAGTTAGATTTTAACTGGGCCTCAGATACCCTGTGTAAATTGGACAAAGCTATAGAGTGTCTCCTAAGAAGATGCACCTATAGATATGACATTTCATCCTGAAATTCAAGAAAACTAATAAAACCCTGAAAGTCATTTTTGAAATGCACAAACTTCAGGCTGTGCAAATTCTAATACTAGCAGAAAGTTCTCAGTATGGATGTGACAGCTGGTAGTATAATAATTCCTTTATAAGCTCACACCTTGGGAAAAGGCCTAAAACTTCCCTTCTTTCTCAACATATTGAACTACCAAAAGACATTTAAAAAGTAGGTAAGTAGGTAAAATGTTTTTACCATTTAGCTTAGGTAATAACAGAGGAATGATATCTATTCTCACTTATTTACTCATTAAAAATTGTATTAGATACATCTTCTCTGCCCTTTTCGCTAGAAATAAAACTGAACTATACAAAATCTGGACCCTTGTGGGGCTTATATTTTGTGAAGGGAGCCAAACAAAGAAAATATCTACAACTAATACTAAGCATGTTGGGTAATGATAAGTGTTGTGGAGAAAATTATACCAGGCTAAGGAGAACAGGGGGAAAAAAAGGTAAGGTGGTTAGGAAACACTTTGAACACAAACTGAAGGTAAGGAGCTAGTCTTTGCACACTCAAAGGAGATTCTGAGGCAGAGAAAATAACAAATTTCTGAGCTCTGAAACAGTAGCTACAGGAGAAGAGATATGAAGACTGAGCACTAAGCCATATGAGTGTGTAAGGCCTGGGAAAGGAAGAGAATCTGTCAAAGGAAAAGAAGACTGACCATTGAGGCAAAAGGAACACAGAGAGTGGTATCCTGAGAGCTAAAAGCATGAAATAGTCAAAGAAGGGACAAGTACAACTGGAGATGTTGGCACATGGTTGTAAATCCAGCTGCTTAGATTGTTGAGGCAGGAGGATTGCAAATTTGAGTTCTGCAGGGCAATTTAACAAGACTATCTCAAAGATAAAATTTAAAAGAACTGGTGGTAGAGCTCAGTGGTAAAGGATTTGCCTAGCATACATGAAGCCTGAAGTTTAATTCAAAGAGGAAGAAGGGAGAGAGATCTAAAGAAGATTTTAAAAAAGAAAAGGAAAAGAGGAAAGATATAAGGGAAATGCAAGTAAAACTTCAGGATCAGGTAAGTTTTTATAACTAGAAGACATTTACTTTTGAAGGTATATTTAAATATAAGTCTAAAAGTCTAATCCTTATGGCAGTCAGCCATTGCAAATACTCCTTTTCCAGTTGTAGAAATAAAAACACTGAGGTGTACAATGAGTGAGTGATACAAGGTGTGATATACAGTGTCAACACTAAATTTAAATCCTGCTATTTCTGACTCCAAATCTCAGGCTCTTCCTTCTCTGCTAATGTTTGCCCCCATGAGAGAGCAGTGAACACAGGATAAGTTATTTAAAGAGAAGCATGAAAGCCAGGCGTAGGGGCACACTCCTATTTGGGAAATTGAAGAAGGAGAATTGCAAGTTCAGAGAAGGTTAGTGAGACCCTGTGTTCAAATAACAAAATAAATTTGTTTTAAGTTATGGGCTACCTAGCATGTGTGAGGCCCTAGGTTGAATACACAGCACTATAAAAAAAAAAAAAGTAATTGCTTAGGTAGACTCCTTTAGATGGGGAAAGAAATTTAACTTCACCAGTGTCACATATAATGGACCCCACCACCTCTTCTTTTGGGTATATGCTAAACAGACAAGGAGACGTCAGAGAATAGATAGGAAGGTCAAAGCCAGCTGGCTTTCTCTGTGAGCATGAAGGAGAAAGGCAGCATGTGAGTGTGCTGGCGTGCTGCAGATTCTAGGGCAAAGTTAATAAAGCTGAGGTCCTATTGTTTAGCTGAACATGTACCATGGATGATGGGAAGCAGATGAATCCCATGTCTGGGAGAATGAGACAGGGTTAGCCAGTCACTCAGGGATCTTTGTTGAGGAGAGACAAGCACCCTCTTCCCCTAATTATGTTCATCGTTTTATGCATCTTCATTGAGGTACAAACCACATAAGTTGGCTCCTGCAAGGTCAGCATGGGAGGTGCCACTAGGGAAGTGGGACGGTCTATCATGGAGCAGCTGACACTGATCCCCATGTTTCACTTGCTCTCATCGTACTGAGAAGGATTGAAGTTGACAAGCACTAGGTTCCATGGACTTGTGAATTGTGTCCCCTAGCATTAAGCTAATGTTAACAAAATGGATATGCATTTTTAAAAATCTCTTGCCAGTGACTCCCAAATTGAAAATAAACACAGGAAAACAACAAGAACATGGCAGGGATTCTGGCTTGAGCCCTTTCTCAGCTATAGTGGGAAGTAGTGACAATGCCAATCCAATCAGAGTTGACGAAAACTCAACCAAAATAATTTCAAATACTAAAAACAAGTGGAGCCTAAAACTAATTTTTTTCATAAAGGCACAGAAACATGAGTCTGTCAAACCCACATTTATTCTTTAGAATATTTCTATTGATGAATTATTAATTTTAATTTTTTGAGTTTTATTATATTAAACAAGTACTTAAGAGGAAAAAAGTCACAAAATAAAATATTGAATTTTTAGTATTTATTGTTTATAAAAATCAAAATTTTCAACATTAAATATATACATTTTTAAAATTTTTATTTATTTATTTATGTGAGTGTGTGTGGCCAGTTCAGCCCACCAGGGGGCAGGGCTGGCTGGCATGTGGTGCTGGGGGATTGAACCATGGTCCCTGTGATTTACTAAGCTCATTCTAAGTAGGTGCTTTAGACCACTGAGCCATCTCACCAGCCCCCAACATTAAATATTTTTTGATGGAAGTCATATTAGTCAGGTTTTTACTAGAGGACCAGATATCATACAAGGAATGGATATAACATAAAAATGTATAAGAAATTACAAGATTGGCCTAGGACAGTCAGCCACAGAGTCGGAGGAGGAAGCGTGCAGAAAGCATCTGCACACCCAAGACTGAAGGATTCAGTCTCAAGGTCTGAAGCCACTGCAGTGTGTTCTGTGCAAGTCTCTATCAGTCGGCTGATGGGGCTGCAACAGAAGGCTGAAGAATCTGCAATGAAAGCTGAAGACACTGTGACAGAAAGCTGAAGGATCTAAGCTGGAGGCCCAAGAGCCTGTGATGTCAAGACATGAAGTCCAAGTCAACTGGGAAGACTGAAGGTCCTCCAAGGAAGTGGACCACAGAATCCTTCCTCAACCTCTTTATATAACCTTCTTTGTGCTAAGTCACTCTGGGGGGGGGGGGCCTCCATGCCCTAGTGTGGGGCCTCCTAGCCCAGCAGGGCAAAACTCCCAAGGCCCAGGGTGTGAAACATCAGAGACAATCCAGCCAAGTTGACACAACCTATCAACCACTACAGAAGTCTAAAAAGGAAATCATAAATAATTCACACATGAATTCTTATATGAACTACCACGAAAATACCAATAGCAGTTTTCAAAAAAAATCCTTAAAATATCGTACCTAAGGCAGTCTGCACACAAGACAGCACATGTTCCATATACACATATCACTTACACTGACAGCATATGTGTTTTGCTTTCCAGGTCTTTTTGTAGGACATTTGGTATGTCAGTGGTTTTGCTATTTTGTCAGGAGACTCTTATTATATACTTATTATATTCTTATTAGTTAATGGTTTTTATTTAAACCCATTGGTTTACAGTAACTACTGCCTCACATGAAGTACTCGAATTAGTCACATTTCATAAAAAAATTTTGCTTAATTAGCAGATGGTATTGAAGTACAAGTATCATTTAGTATGTACTGCCAATAATGTGCTCCATATATTTGAAAGTTTTATAAAATTTTTTTATTATTTTAACTCTTGAAAACCATTAAAACTATCAAAAACAAAGCTTAGAACCAGATTTCAAAAAAACTCTGAATATAGAATATTAAACAAAGATTTGATCAAATATTGAAAACTACAGAAACTCAGTACTCATTATTTTTAATGAAAACTTTACCCATTAAGTCACATAAATGCAAAAAAGGTCAGATAAATGCTTCACAATGTTTTTATTACTACTTTGGTCTTTTAGCACATGCTGCATTATATATAACATAGAAGCAAAAGAATACCTATATATAACTTATAAGTAAATATATATGCAAATAACTATTTAGCATCAAAATCTTTTTAGTATTAAAGAATAGTTGGCCCAAGAGGTAGAGTCCCCCATTTTGAATCAGTGTTTTCTTTCCTCAGATTGCACCTCAGTCTCACAAGGATTGTAAGTTAAGCCTTCACTCTCTCCTTCTCTCCTAAATTAGGTTCTCTGAGAGGTGAAACCCAGAGACATTATTGTTTAAACAAATTCCCAAAGTGATGTTTAAAGCATTGATCTGGAGCCTTGTAATCCATGATATAAGTTCATTAACTCAAACTACAAAAGACAGATATGGATAGTTGCTGTTCTAGCAAGCTTTCTGTTACTGGACAAACATGCAAAATAACTTATGAAGAAAAAGATGGCTTTTGGCTCATGGTCTCGGAGGGTTTAGTCCATGATCAGGTGACCCCCATTCATTTTACACCTCTGGAAAGACAGCACATCATAGCAGAAGTACATGTCAAGACAAAGCTTGTCACCTCATGATCAAGAAGAGAAAAGAGAGGGAGAAGACGGATCTAGGGTCTTACGAGTTTTGGAGGGCACATCTCCAAAGAAAGATCTCCAGATTAAAGCTTCTGTCACCTCCCAATAGCCAGCCCCACACTGAGGACCAACTTTTAATCACATAGGCTTTTGGGGGATATACAAAATATAGAAGTGGCAAAATGTATATAGGCAAGAATGATAATAACATAATATAAAAAATAACACAGTGGACTGGCAATCAAGATGCCTTTGGGAATAGCTGACACTGAACAAGTTTTTTGTGCTGACTTTGATTTAGAAACTCTCTTAGGATAATAGGGTAACAGCTCAACAATGTGCCTCATTTCTCTCAAGTAAAATACAAAATAACAATACTACCCAACTCTTAGGAGCATTATAAGAATTAATAAGAACATACAATGTAAAATTTAACTGTGAAACATTTAAAGAAACCTAAATGTCAAATTTTGCTGTCATCAGCATGTCTAGATATCATCTATGTCTTGATTACTTTTTTCTCCTTGCTGAGACAGAATGTCTGACACTCAGAATTGTGGAAGGAAAAGTTTATTTAGCATATAGTTTGTGGAGGTTTCAGTCCATACTGGGTTGGCTTCAAGGCAGAGTGCCACCTAGCAGGGGGCAACAGTACTTGGAGAAAAGCAACAAAAACAGCAAGAGCAAAAAGAAAAGGGGCAGCAGAGAGCAAGCCTCTTTCCCTCCCTCATATTCATAGTATGCAGGCAACCATCCCATGGAGGGTGTAGAGCTCACATGCATAATCCCAGCATTGGACCATGAATCAATCAAAAACTCTAAAAGTCTGCCCCATGACTGCATGTGGCTTTGAGGGGACATCTGGACATAAACCATAACTATCTCTGGATAGGAATTTTCTAGAAAAAAAAAACAGTACTAAAAAAAATCAATACACCTAAGTACAAACATTATTTTTACTGCTTTGTTTTTGTCCGTTTACAGTATTTGGGATTGACTCTGGAACCTATGCACTGAGCTACATCCCCAGCCCTTTTTATTTTATTTTGGCTTGCTTTTGGGCGGGGAGGGGTGTTACCAGTAATCAAACTGAGGACCACACGTTTGCCAAGTAGGCACTGTGCCACTAAGTTAAATCCTCAACCTTTATTTTATTTTAAGAGAGGGTCTTGCTAAGTTGTCCAGGCTGGCATTGAATTTGTGATCCTCTCCCATGTCAGCCTCCAAAGTAGCTAGGATTACAGGCTTGTTCCACTGAGCCCAGCATACAACACCGTTTACCACAGGGTTTCAGCATGATATCCTAGATATCTGAGAAGGAAAGAAAAGATATGTTATGATTAAAATGACACAACAATTCCTACCTGGCAGGGGTGATACCATGATCACAAAGGCAGTTTTCCCAGAGTGAAGCTTACCCATGGCACTCTGGATGTGCTGACTCCTGCGATTTCCTCACATGCAGGAAACTTGATTGCATAATGTGTGGTAATAATGGAGTAATGGTATTTGGGTGTTCCCCAGAAAGGAAAAAAAACAACCTGCAACAAGATTCTCTACTAAGTGTTTGAGTTATATACATTATAACAATTCTAGAATACTGTAATAAATACCATATTTTGCCTCAAAATTGCAACCCAAAGGAAATATGAGTATCACTTCATAGAGACATCTGCCTACCATTAATGCAGGTTTCTGTGACAAGTTAATCTTATTTTATTTTAGTGTAGAGTCCTGCCTGTGCCTCTGAGCTTGATAACTGTTGTAAAATATCAAGATTCTGGCCTTCTCCATCAAAAGATGAACTAGGGCTTTGGCCACAGAACCTCATCTGCAGTAGGCTGGGAATTTCATCTGTCAAGTCCTCTGTATATGAAGCTTCTGTTTGTCCCAGAAAAGAGCACCAGGCTTGAGATGAAGATGTGGAAAACTTCTGAATTCTATAGGTGATTCTTTTTTTTTTTTTTTTTTCAGAACCAGGGATTGAACTCAGGCCCTTGTACTTTCCAGGCAAGCACTTATTCTACAGAGCTATCTCCCTGACCCTCTCTAAAGGTGCTTCTTTACCCCATTAACTGACCAAGGACCCTTCAAAGGTTAGGGTGTTCTATTCAGATAATAATATTAGAGGGACTCAATAAACAACTCACCTCATATTCCTTCAAACTTTTCACCTCACAGAATTTTTCTCCTTTATCCCACAAAAAAATCTCATTGACACTGCCCACTGTTTGCTTTTCATATGCTGACTGGATGCCATTAGGGGCTTCCTTTACTTTAAGGTGACTAGCACTTCCTGGACCAGTGGTCCTGACCACTTTGAGCAGTCAGACTTTGCCCTTGCTGAATTTGTGACATTTACTTCACTCTGGTGTCCAGAACTCCCCACAATCTCTTCAACATGTAGCAGTAGGAGGCCCCATCTGTCCCTGCTGCCTGTGTTTGGGATGGCTGGATGCCTTCCCACACTGAGATTCTGTCTGCTTTCATTTATTCCAATTGAACTTGCCTTCTTCTGACAGAGCTTCCAGGAGCATGTGGTTGCTCCTGAAGGTCCCCTGGATCAGTAAGAGAAACAAGCTTTTTCTTCCCCTGGAGAGATGGCAAGAGCTATGACTCACATGTCACTGCTAATTAGCACAAAGGGTCTGAACATAAGGGAACATAGAGAAAAAATGATTGGGTTTACCCAGACACTGGGGTTTTTTGTATTGTTCTGTTTTTGTTTTTCACTTGTTTTCCAGAATGTAGCCTATTTATTATGTGGCATTAGAACAGAAAGAAAATAAGTTAATCAGCAACAGTGGTCTGTTTTAGAGACTTAAGAAGGGCACTGCAGAGAGCTTCAGGTTGCCCATGGAGATACGTGCAAGAAACAGTGTGAAGCCAAAGGCACAACAAATGCTCCTTGTACTAGAAGAGGCCAGTTACCAATAACTAGGCAGGGAATGCATTCATTGCAGCTCACACAATTTTATCCAAGATCTGTTCTCTTTTCTGACGTTGATGAAGATCCTCCAAACCAAGAGTTGGAGACTGAAAGTGTACAGTTTGTTTAGCAAGCACAATTTTAAAAATTCTTTTTTGCATTAAAATGCCTTGTCATGGAGCATAGAATATGAAGTTCACTGTAAAGTCTGACTATCCTTTTTTTTCTTTTTTTTTTTTTTTTGTATTTAGTACATGGTCTACAGGGTCTCACTGCACAGATTGGACTCATAGTGATCCTCCTGTTTTCAGCCTCCCGAGCACTGGGATTACAGGCATGAGTCACCATGCAGTCTCAGTCGCCATCTCAGTGTGCCCTGGAGTTGGGGCTGGCACAGCAGACAGAGGATCAAACTCCAGTCCCTGCACCTATCTATACAGGCAGTTTAGTCTGCTGAGCTATCTGGACAGCCACGACTGTCCTTTTTGATCAAACTTTTTTACATATTTGCATACATGACTACAAGGCAACTAAAGAGATTTGAATAGGGTTGCTTGGTAATTTCCTGCAAAAGTACAGTTATTGATAGGACTATTGATGCTTACCTCTTCATTCTTAGTGAAGAATGCTCTAAGTTATGTTGGAGTTTCTCCAGACATCTGAAAACAGATACTGTTGAAGAGATAGGTGTAGACAGCTCTCCTAGTCAGTCTGTGAATCTTCAGAGGGCCATTCCTGGAACTGCAGGTTTCACCCAGGGGTACCAGAGGACAGCCTTGGCATTCAGGGCAGCCGCAGTCTTCTTCTTCCAAATTGGGTCATGCTGACCTCTAGAAAACTGGGTCTTCTGGCCCTCCAACAGCTTTTTCATTTTATATTTACATATTGGTTTTTTGCAGTTCCAGAGACTGAACCCAGAAACTCAAGCATTTAGCTATGTGCTTTTCCATTGAGCTACATGCCAGTCCTACCAAGAAATGTTATGAGTAAAATCAGCTCTTTATCTGTATTACAAATTGAAATGTAATTTTCCTAGTTATCTCCTGTGTTTTCTTATGTGTAGTTTTTGCTTAAAAGTTTTTGAAATTTTTCCTATTGCCTTTGTGTCCAGGTTAGAAATGCCTGACTCGTCTAGTATCGTAATGACTTTTTATTTTTAATTCTTTATTTTTTTTAATGTATTTGGTACAGAATCTTACTATGCAGCTTGGATTTATAGTGATCTTCCTATTTTCAGTGCTGGGAATACAGGCGTGTGCCATCACACCCAGTCCCCATGGCCAGTTTAGTGAACCCAGGGCTGGGCCCAGCATGGCATGTGGTGCTGGTGATCGAACCCAGGTCCCCATGCTTGCCTAAGCAGGCGCTTAGTCCACTGAGCTATCTCACCAGCCCTGACTGCTTTTTTTTTTTTAAGGTAAAATTTTTGATCCATTTGGAACTCATCCTGATATAAAGGTTGAGGTATGAATTCATAACTGGTTCAGCCAGTGTGTTTATTTTTCTGTTTCAGTCCTACGAAATGTTAATGATTGGAGATTTAAAACATTAATGCCTGATAGAGCTAGGTCCCCTTATTTTCCTTCTTTCAGAGTTTGGCTTTTTTTTCCAGATGAACTTTATCATCAGCTAGTCCATAAGACTAGATCTAGACAATCTCTATTCCCCCTTTATAAATGTGGCTAACTTGTAGAAAGAAATAACTGTGGGTCATACCAAAGTAAAGTGTAACTTCGTTTAGGTTTTACTATTAATCATAACATGGTAAATTTCATTCTCTTCAATTAAAGATAAATAACATTTCACTTAATGAATATAAGACACTAAGAAAATACACTGTAGATCTTTTAAACACACACATTGGTCCATAGCTGGGGCAAAGTACATCCCCATTAAATTCGGCAGTTAATAAAGACATTTCATTTGTTATGACTTGGACAGTTGGGAAGAAGAATATCAATGATCGTGGCATCTACTGAGTAAGAGCAATTGGTCCTGCTGGACTTGCGCAGTGCACAAAGTGCGCAACCCACCACAAAGTATCTGGTACAAAAATGTTAACAATGCAGAGGTTGATGAACTATGAGACCAAGAAAAGGACAAAAAGTTAGAGGGTTGCTGTTAACACATGGTCTCCCTGGATAGTCCAGGCTGGCCTGGAACTCACGGTCCACCTCCCTAAATTCTGGGATTATAGATGTGTGCCAGCATGCCCAGCTGTCTTCATTTCTTGTAGTACTGGGGATTGAACCCACGGTCTTCTGACTGAGCTACATCCCCAATATTCTTAAATTATTTATTTCTTATTTGTTTATTATTCTTATAGTACTGGGGAATGAGTCCAGGACCTTCATAATGAGACACATCCCTAGGCCTTTTATTTTTATTTTGAGCCAAGATCTTGCTAAATCCATAAATTGCACAAGCTGAAACTTTCTATCCTTCTGCCTCAGATTCCCAGAGAGGTGAAATTACAGATGAGGACCACCATATCTGGTTCTAAGTATTAAAGTAATTAAAAACTTTTCTGCCACATATATGTCACAAACAAAAATAGAAGGTGTTTCTGGAATGTAATATGGTACAGTTTTCAGAGATATATTTACAGTTAATAAAGCTGGCAGCATTTGACTAAAGTCAGTTGCATTTTTCTTAAATGTCCCCACTTCTTGTAAAACCTAATCTGGAGTTTTTGTTGTTACTGATGTTTTTGTAACATCTCTCCTTCTCATTAATAGTGCTGTACTGGGTACAACATTGTTTTGCTGTTAATTGCACATGTTGGTGTCTTAGTTACTTTTCATGTTCGGAGACAAAATATCCAGGACTGAAAGGTAAAGGAAGAAAGATTTACTTAGTACACAATTTGTAGAGGCTTCAGTTCATAGTTGGCTGGCTCCAGGGGTGGCAGGGCAGAGGAGCACCACAAAGGAAAGACAGCTCACGGCAGGCAGAAAGTGGGAAGGCAGCAAAGCTGAAGCAGCAAGCAGTAAATGCCAAGAGTCAACAACAGGGTTGGGGAGATAGATAGCTCAGTGGTCCAAGCACCTGCTGGCAAGCGCAAGGACCAGGGTTCAATCCCTGGCACCACCTGCTGCACCGGCCCCACCTCTGGGTATGCTGAGCTGGCCACTGAGACCAGGTGTGGTGGCGCACACCTGTAATCCCAGCGCTGGGAAGGCTGAAAACAGGAGGATCACTATGAGTTTGAGCTGTGTAGTGAGACCTGTACCAAATACACAAATAAATAAAAGATTTTTTTTTAATTTTAAAAATGAGTCAATAGCAGTTCTCTTTCTGTCCTTTCTATTATATCAAGGGAAGTCCTTCCCATTGTCTACGCTCAAAACTATGCCAAACCAACCATGGGACAATTTAGTAATATGTACTCTTAATCCTAGCATCACACATTCTAGATCCAGCCACTTCTGTAAAACCCCCACTGTGACCACATAAGACTTTGGGGGGACATCTAGACATGAGCCATAACATTGGATGGTTGTTTTTTTTTTTTCAGTATTTCAAAAATAGGAAATGGGTTGAATTTGATGTGATCTGAGTCAAATACGATAGATAAGATCACAAGAGTTCATAT